GCGGGAGGCCAGGCCCCTGTCCCGGCCGCTGCCGGGTCCCGAAACCCTTTTCCTTCGCGGAGCTGCGGCAGTGCCCGCCCCGGGGCGCTGGGCCGCCGGCGTCGTGAATGCCCCGGCTGTCCCGCCGCTGCCCTTGCGCAGCCGTCGCACTGCGCAGGGTTCGCGCGCGGGCGCCCGTGCTCCTGGAAGCGGCCTGGCGCCCTCCTGGGAGCGGGCCGGCCGGGCGAGCGGGCCCTGGAGGGCGCGGGCCGGAAGTGCCCTGGGCCTCGGCTCATCAGCGGGGAGTTGGCATTTATTTGAAAGTCGTATAAACATGGCTGATAGTTTTGTTTATTTCACGTGAGATCCAAAGAGCAACTTTTATAAGTAACCTTTGGAGCGTTTAAGTGGACTTAAGCCCTAGGCTTCTCTATACACGGTTGATATTAGTGGGACTTACTAGGAAGACTGATGTGGGGTGTTATTATGTATGATTAGGATAATGGCATAGGAGTCTCAGGAAAGGGTAGAGACATTTCAAATGTAGATTAGGTTGGACAGGTATAGGTCTGAAAAACGGGAAAGTTATAAAGTTGGTTTGGAGGGGGGAAAGAACTTAATTTCAAATGCGTTGAGTTTTACTAGTTGATGGTGAGTGGTATCCGTAGGAGAAGGGTCCAGCGGGAAGTTTCAAAATCTGGCATTAGAACTGGAAGAACATTCAACATAGAGATGCAGATTAAGAGCCCTCCACCCAGAATGTGTAGTTGAAATTTAGGGAATGCAAGGGGTAAGTAATGCGAAGACAACAGGAGTGGAAAGAACCCGGATCCTTCCGGGTTTTGCAGAGAAGGAATTTGAACAAGGAAATTGTAGTCAGCAGTAGCAGTTGGTGCGCTGCGGTCCACTGATCCTGGGCGACCTCTTCAAGGCCCAGGGGAGTGAGCCACACTGAGAATTGAGTGTGTCAACACTCACCGAATGAGAGAGAACAGAAGAGCAAACAGGACTATTTTTATCCAAAACACTGTGTTTCAGAGTTTGAACTTTCTGAAATTTTAAAACTATTTTCAGATACAAACTGAGATATCTTGGGCCTGGGACCCAAAACAAAAAACGAAGTTCAGTTGTTTCTTGTACTCTTAGCCTGAAGCTAATTTTATATAATATTTTAAATAATTTTGTGTATGAGGCAAGTGCATTGAAGGCAATTTTCCACTTGTGACATGTTTGTTGGCACTCAGAAAATTTAAGATTTGGGACTTTCAGATTTTTGGATTAGGGATGCTCTACTTGTAGAGGTACATGAAAAATTTGATAGACTTATGGGAAGAGTACTGGTGATTCAGCTCAGGATTTTGCAGAGCTAGATAAGCTTTGAGCTGTATTCCAGCCCTCTATGTCACAAATTTGATCCAAATTTCTTAGTCAAGTAGATCCATCTTCCTCTGCTTTGTTGGTCTCTATCCCCCATTTCTTCACTTTGAGTGGTTGAATATTTTTCATCCTCCTGCATTACACTTTAAATATTTTAAGAAGTGAAGATATTTTCATAGTACTTTTGCTCCTGTAAAAGTTTTTGACAAGGCATTCAGGCAAAATATATACAATGATACATTGCTTAATAACTGGAATATGTTGTGAGCAATGCGAGCTTATAGTTTTATTGTGTGAATGTCATGGTATACACTCTACGGCCTAGCAGAACCTTTGTAACCTTTGGCTACAAGCCTCTGCAACATATTACTGTACCGTAGGCAACTGTAACAGTGGTGTTTGTGGATCTAAACCAAAAAAGTACAGTAAAAATATAAGAGGTTTAGAAATGACATGCCACTGTTGGGAACATAGATAAATGTAGTTTACAAGACTGGAATTTGCTCCGAATGAGTCAGTAAATGAGTGAAGAAAAACCTACTGCATTGCTATGACTATTACAGACTTCTTAAATACTGTAAACTTACACTAAATTTATTAAAATACATTTTCAATAATTAACTTACTATAACTTTATTTGCTTTTGTTAGTAACACAGCTTAAAACTCTAATATGCAAAAAATTACTTTCTTCATAAGACTGTTTTTAAAAATTTTATTTCTCACTTAAATTTTTTTGTTAGAAACCAAGACACAGGGGCCGGAGAGATGGCTCAGTGGAATAAGCGCTTCCCTGGCAAGCACAAGGACCTGAGTTCAATCCCCGGTCCTGCCAAAAAAATAAAATAAAGCAACCAAGACACAACACATCCCTAGGTATACACAAGGTGAGGATCATCAGTATCAGTCTTCCACTTCTGCTTCTGAGATAGTGGATGATCATCAAGGGCGGTAGCATGCACAGACCTGTCACCTGTGGTAACAGTGGCTCCTGGATTCCCTCCTGAGAGACTTGTCTGGGACTCCTCTTCAGCACTTGTCACTTGAGAGAAATATATCCACGATCTTTTACTTGATTTATTTTTCTCATAGATTTGCCTGTAAGCAAATAATGTACTGTAAATATCACTCTAATGTGAGAGTCCACATTTTAAACATTCTAAGAAGCATGTTGAGGTCTGAAAAACCTGTTAAATCCTTCACTGGATTTTCTTTGAAGTCCTTTTTCTAGTCCTGCAGTTTCCTTTTCTCTTACTTCTTCTTCAGCCATGTGTTCATTAACTGATAAGAACTTTGCAACTGTAATTTGAGATGACCATTATATATTTAGTCTTTGACCAAACAGTTGTTTTACTGTGTGTAACCTTATTAAAATAATTCTGTTAAGGCCAAGGTGACCAGCTGATTTTCCATGCTGTGGTATCCTGGGTAGAGAATCACCTACTCTAGAAAAAAGTTTCTCAAGAATGCAGGAGCGCTATGTCACATTTATTGTGATAAACACATCCTGTTTGTAATCCATTCGGTCTTTGTTTCAGGATCTATCCTGTGGCACAGACAAGCAAATACCAATTAAACAGGTAAATTTTAAGTTTTACTGTTTGTATTTAATCTGAAAGTTAAATTAAATAATTTGTTCACTTGGTTGACAGCACCTGAATTAGCAATAGCAAATATTTTATTGAAAATACTGCTGCCTGCTATATCATAATTGTATGTAATTAGTATATCGTATTTAATTTTATTTTTGTTATTTTTTGTTGACTCTAACATTTTTCTTGATTTATAATTGAAATTAGCTTGTAAATCAGATAATTAGAAAAAAATGTTAAAGCTTTGATTTTTGTTGTGTGTGGGGTGGTTTTTTTTTTGTTTGTGTGTTTGTTTGTTTGTTTGTTTGTTTTTGTAGCACCACGGATTGAACTCGGGCCCTTGCACTTGCCGGGGAAGATGCTTATTCCACTGAGCCATCTCCCTGGCCCAAATCTTTGGGTTTTAAAGCATGCTAACAATTAAAACTAACTCTTTTGTCTAGATAAAAGTACTTGGTTTTGAATTCTAATTAAAGAAGAAGAAATGGACTACTTACAGTTAATTTAAAAAGATTAAAAATGAAGCACAGTGATACAAGTAATGAGTGGTTTTAAAAAATTTTTACATGATTTTAGCTTGTAAGAACAAATGCCATTATTAATTCAACAAATACAGTAATTATTAGATATCCTTTATGTATCAGATGTGTACTCAGTGTGCCATGTTTTGGGAAAGCAGAGTACCTGTTTTGTTTTCTGAAGATTGGATTTCCTTGTAGAATAATTTAGCAAGTCAATTTTATTCCTTGCTCTCATGTGTTTGAATATTAAAGTTACATAGTAACATAGGGAGGTAGAAATTTTTTAAATGGAAAGGAGACCAAGTATTGGAGAGAGGAGTTAGGGAGAGGAGGGGAAGAGGCTACATGGGTTATGTACATGGACCAACTGACCACGAAGAGTGTGATCACTATGTACTACAAATGTGTACTCAGAGAAGTTGTAATAAAGAAAAAGAATTCATAACTTAAAGATGTATCATTCTAGGGGGCTGGGGAGAGGCTTAGTAAAATAAGCGCTTCCCTGGTAAGCGCAAGGGTCTGAGTTCAATCCCCAGTTTTGAAAAAAAAAAAAAAAATAGTATCAGTCTAGTATTTTCTGTAGAGGATAAAATTAAATTTAGCAGCTATAGTTGTGGTATATTTTTAATGTGATTATTTGGAATAGGGAAGAACTCATTTTATGAAATTCTTTTGCTCTGTGTTGGGCATAAACTTTTAGCTTTGTTTTCTCTTCCTTTTATTGTTTCACTTCCGCTAATTGATTTATAATCTACAGGGATTTATAATCTACAGGGATTATATAACATCTGTGTAGTGAGATCCTTTAGACCCTTTAGTAGTATTAAAAAAAACCGATAAAAACTGAAACTATAAAAGCTGACATGCAAGATTTGAAAAAACATAAGAAAAATTCTAGAACTATGAAAAATACAAAACCTCAAATTAGTAATTCAGTGAAATTGTTTAATACCAGAATCAGCAAAAAATTGCATTCATGAGCTACAAGATGAATCAAAAGAAAATCAGATCCAGAGGTGAAGAGAAATGGAAATAAAATTTAAATGAAAATTCAAATGCTTAATATTTACAAAGAAACTATCATTGTTACCTATAAAAATAAACACATTTAATACAAAAAAAGTTACATAGTATATCTATAATTTCATTGTTTAAGATAAGATCATGACTAACTGAAATAAATGTACAGTAATTAATAGTACATAGTAGAACATTGGGATCTAACAATCAATCCTTTGTAGATTTAAAACAAACTACTTAGTGCACAAAAGTAATTTCTCTGTGTAATTATAATACCTTACTCCAATAGAAGTAGTAATTTTAGTGTATCTTTAAATGAAAGCATAAAGATTCCAAGAGAGACAGGACAACATGACAGTGAAGAATAGGGGTTCTGTTGTCAGATGTGCTGAGTTCAAAGTGTAAGACCATTTGAATTTATTGAAGAGATTAAAGATAGGTTTTTAATTATTCTCATTTATAATGTTGTGTAATACTTCCAAAGTTAGCTTTTAGGATCACTGTTACATATCTCTATGAGTATAATGCCAAAGCTTTAACTGATCAGCGTATAATAATGTATTTCACAGAGAAGACTGCCAGAGTAGTAGTATCTGTCCCTATTATCAGGTTATTGAGTGTATAGGACTTATGGACTGTATTTTAATGCAGTGCTTCAAGGACTGGGAGAGGAATCTTTCCTTCAGAGGTACTCATCAGAGTCAATTTGACTCCTGATTTTTCTGTTTTCCCACATTTATTAATAAAAGTTAACATATTTTATTTTATTTATTTATTTATTTATTTGCGGAACCTGGGATTGAACTCAGGCCCTTGCACTTGCCAGGGAAGCGCTTATTCCACTGAGCCATCTCCCCGGCCCAATATATGGTTTTTATATGTATATTTAAATTTATTTGTATATGAACATGAACAAGATCTGTTGCAGAGGGAAAAAAAAGTAAATACCAAATGTCTGAGTTTCCCAATGACAGTCTGTTATTTCAGCTCCGTAACAGATTTATGTTTTGCTGTTTATAAAAGGGAATATACTAGGGCCGGCCAGATAGTTCAGAGGACTGGGCTTCCATCCCTGGTGTGCCATGCTGGTCCTGCCCCAGGGTGCACTGAGATAGTAATTCAGACTGGACACGGTGGGGTAGGCCTATAATCCCAGTGCTTGGGAGGCTGGAAACTGGAGGATCACTACAAGTCTCATCTGTGTAGTGAGACTTTGTAGACCCTGTACTAAATACATAAAAATAAATAGGGATATACTAATTTAAATATACTAATTTAAATTTTGTTTATATTTTCCCTCAAAAGTCCTTAAGATTGGTGGTTTGATTGAAAAATACTTGTCACACATAACAGTTTGGTAATATTATTTTAAATTGTCAAAATTATGACTGTCACATCATCTTCCTCCCCTTTAAAAATCAATTACAGCCAGGATTGGTAGCTATGCCTGTAATCCCAGCACTCAGGAGCCTGAAATAGTAGGATCATAGTGAAATTAAGGTTAGGCATGGCTCCTTAGCAAGAACGTGTCTCAATAAAACAAAACAAAAAACTATAGTCAGTCATGCCAATCCTTTGGCTTATTACGGTTGATAGACTACGAAATTTTTTAATCTTGTGAATTAATCAGTAATTTTTTTAATGTGGTACCTATTGAGGCATTAAGTGACTTTCCCATCACTGGAACAAAATACCCAACACTCACTGTGTAAAGGAGGAGAGGTTTCACTTGGCTCATAGTTCCAGGCATTCCATCTATGGCCAGCTGGCACTAAGGCAGAAACATGCTGGTGGAAGAAAGCTGTTCTACCATCTGGGAGGCAGGAAGCAAAGAGAGAAAGGGGGATCAGAGTGGATATCCCCAAACACATGTCCCCCGTGACACATCTCTTCCAGCCAGGCTCCACTTCCTATAGCAGATTTAGCTTCCCAGTGAATCAGTCCACTGATGAGTGTAGCACCTTATGATTTAGTCATTTGGGAAAGCCCCACTGCTAAACATGATTTTTTGGGGGGACAGTCTAGATCTGTACGGTAACATTCTCCCTGCTTTTTCTTTTGAGACAGGGTGTTGCTAAATTGCATAGGCTGTGCTTGAACTCACCATCCTCTTACATCAGTCTTTCAGAAAGCTGGGATTACAGGCATGTGCCACCATGTCCTGCTGCTTGAGATCTTTTTAAAAGGAATCTGAGGTAGTCTGCAACAATAGCAAGAAGTGTATTAATAACTAAGTAATAGGGGCCAGGGAGATAGCTCAGTAAAATAAGCGCTTGCCTAGCAAGCTCAAGAGCCTGCATTTAATCCCTAGTTCTGCCAAAAAAAAAAATAATGATTTACCAGAGTGCTTTTGTTCTTTAGTGGTAAGTATGGGCAACAGATGTATGTACACTTTAGTTTGTTTGGGTTTTTTTAATATTATTTATCAAAGAAAAATAGGTTTTGAAAATTTTTCCAGGTAAAAGAGTTGTTTAGATAATTGATCTGAAAGTAGTATTGTTTCAAGTTTTTTAAGAACTGATTCAGTTATTAATGAGCTTAATCTTCACTAATAGGAGAAGAATGGCGTTAAAGCAGATTTCCAGCAACAAGTGCTTCGGGGGATTGCAGAAAGTTTTTGAACATGAGAGGTAGATATCACTCATTCCATTTTAATGTTTGTTTGTTCTATTTTAAAGAAATATTAACCCATCTCTTACGGTATGTTGTTTGACTTTTAACCCCCACCTGCATCACCTAGTCTACAGTTTCACCAAACTATTGGCTAAGCTTGGATTGTCTAAGTGTGTGAGGTATGAGACTCTGAACAGACTGCCTTCAGGCTTTAATTTAACAGGCTTGTGAAATTTCACAAAAATGCCTATGTTGCCATTAAAATTTGTGAGACTATCTTTTAATGTTAAAAAGATCCCTGACTTAAAGATTACAAATTAATCACATGAGTTTGGCCCTGTTACCTCTCAAATCTGACTTAATAGTGTAAAGGTGTTTTATGCACATGTATTATAGATAAAGAAGCAGGAAACAGGAGCTAAGAAAAATATTTTAGAATTAGGGGCATAGATGGAAAGGTACTATCTGACTATGCAAAACCTAGAAAGCTAAATTGTTAACATCAACAAGAGAAAGCTGAGAAGTAACATGGAGCCATAAGAACCGAAAGCACCAAGCACACCTAGAAGGGTAAAACTGGAGCTCAAAAGAAAAGGTTAGTTTCAACTTTATTTTTAAAAGTACACAGATCCCCAGTTGTCCCAGTATTTTATGTAGGTGGGCCATTCCCTCCCAATCTACAAAAATTGAGGATTTATTCCTTAAGGAAGGTAGATAGAGTCTATCCTGGGGAATACCAGGTGCAGTTGGTAGGAGCAGTGCAAGTAGATTAAGTAGAAATTGGCATGGGATTGCTTCCACTAGTTTCTGAAGTTTGAGGAGTTAGGTGTATAGACTATGATAAAAAAATATGGTGATAATAAAGTTTAATTTATTGCAGTAAAAGATGCATCAACATTAGTCCCAGTCAAAATACTCCCCTTAATTCAAACCCTTACCCTTTATTCTTACACTCTCCGTGGCACCTCTGAAAGTCCTTTTTTGGGTGTTTCTAGTTGTACAGTCATTTTCATTTGGGGGATGAGCTGGATATCCCATGGTTCCATGTCCAATACATAAGTTAGATGACACTGCAATATTTTTATAAGTCTGCCTTTCTCTTCAGTGGCAGTTGGCAACAGCATTCACTGTATTTTTGATCATACCTTATAAAGATACCCATGAAAGAGGACTTCCAGGGCAGGGCAACACTTAATTTTTCATAAAGTTTCTAGAAGTATTTACTGTATTTGTAGTTAATTTAAGGTAATTTATTGAAGTGGTAAATTTGCTTCCCCTTGTATGATTTTTTTTAAATAAGCCCATGAAAAGTCACTGTCATGAAATACAGTTTACATAGGAAAATACCTGTGGATTTTATCGAATTAGTTGATATAATAATGATTATGGTAAATTATTAGTGATGAAAGAGCAAAGTACCCATGACCAATTATAATTTAAGATCTTTGGATTCATTTTTTAAAGAAAGTTGATTCATTATTTGATAACTTCTCATTAGAAAAAGAGAGGCCCAGAGGTTAGCTCAGTGGCAGACACCTGTCTGGCAAACTAAGGTCCTGAGTTCAATCTTTTGTACCAAAAAAAAAAAATTTCTTTCAAGACTAGAAGTGATACATTAAGAATTGCATTAATTGTTTAAATTTATTCTATACAAGTAACTCATCCATGTAGATGAAACTGACAAATGATCTACAAACTGCTATATAGGGTTTCAGGATAAGGCCTGAGGGGATTTGACTGACCTTGACCAATACAAAAGTTACATTTCTTGTTATATAGGTCTTGCTTTATCTTGGTCTTAACTATCCAGCAGAAAAGTATAAAAACGAGGTATAAAAAGTAAAGCCATATTAATATGCCGACTTGTAAAAGGCTCAAGTCAACAACTTCTAACATTGCCAGTCCTATGGATAACCCACTACTAGTATGGACTACTGGACTATATTGGATTATTTTGCTGAATTCATGAAACTACAATATTTAAATGGCAATGGAATACCTATCTCTGACAAAACTAAACAGAAAAAGGGGGATATAAATGAAGGACCATTTTGTATCTGTATATACAAAATAGGATAGATACACAACTACTTTCTCTTAATTCAATGAGAAGAAAGATTTGTATTAATAGTGTTTGGACCAGATATCATGTCTGCATCTTGTACTAGAATACTATGAAGACAACAATATGCATTGTATCAATTATTGTAACTGTCCTACTAACCTGATTTGAAACTGTCTCATTGCTATTTGTTTCTCAATAAAATTAATAAAAAATAAATTTATTCTGTACAAAATGACTGCCACATAAAGCATAGGCTAAAGTTGGTTGATAGATCAATATGGTAAACTGGCCCAATTCTTTACTCAGGAGACCACATTTTTCTTAAATTAGTGGAATTGCTTGCTTTTGACATTCAATTACTTTTTGGACCTGTACTTTATATCTTTTTACATAGTGCTTAATTATTTTGTTTCTGTCTTAAGAGAGGCATTAATATACTATTGTAACGATTGTTGTTAAAATTATAGTGTGGAGCTAAAATGTAAAATGAAATTTGCTATCTACTTACCACCAAAGGCAGAAACTGGAAAGTGCCCTGCCCTGTATTGGCTCTCTGGTAAGTATTATGTGTTTGAGTTTTATGAATAAATTTGTTTCTTTTTAACTAATTTGTCTTACCCTTTTATTTTGTTTTCTAATCCATTAGAGGCCTGTCATAGTTGGCTTTGTAACTCCTTATCTGGGGAATAATTTCAGGCCTATGGAGTTAGATTTATTTCACTTTTTTTTTTTTTTTTTTCAGTAAGACTAAGTAATTCGGGAGAGAATGTAAAGTTCTGGACTGAGTGATAAGAGTTTAGAAACGTTATTTAATTTATGTTTGTTCAAGCATCTCTAGTTTGTAATGACTTTACCAGTCAAATGAAACTAGGGTACCATGATACATAATTAGAAACCATAGACTAGTAACTGCCACTGTATTCAATATAATATTTTAATTTAATGCCACGGAGCTTTTTTGGCAACAATCTATAAAGTTATGCTTTTTAATCAGGTGTAGAATAGATTGAGAGAGAGTGAGACATTGACACAAGTAGTTTGGAACCTCTGTTCACTTTTTTCCTTCACAAGATATTAGCAGTTTATCTTCAGAAGTGAATATTTATTTATTTATTTATTTATTATTCGTATTTTAGGGAAGGGTCTACAGGGTGTTCAGGGTCTAACTACTAGATCATACTCATAGTGAACCCCCTGTTTACAGCCTTCCAAGAGCTGGGATTACAGGCACATGCCACCATGCCCAGTCTCAGTTGCTGTCTCAGCACACCCCAGGGGTGGGGCCAGCACTGCAGGCCCAGGGATTAAACCCTCGGGCCCTGTACCTGCTTGCAGGGGCTTTAATCCACTGAGCTATTTGGTCGGCCCTTCACTGCAGTATTAAAATTAGCATCTACAAAAGTATTTTATAGTTTATATTCAATAAGCTTGGATAACACTAATTATCAAATTGCATTAAGCATCTGTTGCTAGTCCATTCTCGCATCTTATAGTCTTAAGTACCTGTAGTAAAAAAATCACCTTTTTATCATATGACTGAAAAGTTCAGTATTAGGAAAACTGACAGAAATGGTTGCTCTCATTTTAGTTCAGTGAGGAATACAAAGATGCAGGCTGAATTTTGGTGCTGAGAACTACCTGTATATAAAAAAGTTTTTTATTTTATTATAGCAAAATATTAGCCCGCTTACTGTAAAGAGTTACATTTTGATGCATAACTTGTCACATATTTTATTATGTGTTTTAGTACAAGGTCTACAGAGTCTCACTACGCAGATCGGACTCAAGTTATCTTCCTATTCTCAGCCTCCCAAGCGCTGGGATTACAGGCATATGCCACCAGGTCCAGTTTCAGTCAGTATCTCAGCGCACCCCAGGGGCGGGGCCAGCATGGCTTTCTGGGGATCAAACCCTGGTGTCTGCGCCTGCCTAAGCAGGTGCTTTAGTCCACTGAGCTATCTGGTGGCCCTTGTCACTTTTTTTTTTTTTTTTTTTTTCTGTGTTGAGCACAGGGTCTACAGAGTCTCACTATGAAGATCATACTCCGTAATGATTCTCCTGTTTTCAGCCTCACAAGCACTGGGATTACAGGTGCATGTCACCAGGTCCAATCTTAGTCACTATCTCAGCTTGCCCCATGGGTGGGGCCAGCACAGCACCAGGGTTGGAACCCCAGCAACTGTGCTGTCACATGTTTAATTAGCATGTTTGCTAATATCTCACGGGCTGTTTTAATAATGGGCATATGCCCCTACGAGTTTACAGTTCTACAGTTTTAAAAATTCCAGATTTCCAAGCAAATCTGGTCAAAAGAATTTTTCTAGTTGAAACTTTAGTAAGGATAGTTATGGGGACTGGGGAGATAGCTGTGGTATAAGTGCCTGCCTGGCAAGTGCAAGGATCCAAGTTTGATTCCCAGTACCACATGCCATGTCAGCCCTAAACCCTGGGCACATCATGCCAGCCCCAAAACCAGGCATGGTGGCACACACCTGTAATCCCAGCACTGGGGAGGCTGAGACAGGAGAATCACTACAAGTGTGAACTGCATAGTGAGATCCAGTACCAAATAAATAAGTAATTTCTAAAAAAAGAGGAGGATAGTTATGAGATCATTTAATCTAAAACAATTGTTAGATTAATTCTATTGAAAATCTAAGAATGGAATGTTAATGTGTTACTAGAAAGTTATTTCTATTTATTTTATTTTTTTATTTTATGTGTGTGTGTGTGGGTGGGTGGGTGGGTGGCCAGCTCAACCCACCAGGGGGCGTGGCTGGCTGGCATGTGGTGCTAGGGGATTGAACCACGGTCCCTGTGCTTTGCTAAGCTTGTTTTAAATTGGTGCTTTAGACCACTGAGCCATCTCACCAGCCCTAGAAAGTTATTTCTAGAACAAAAATAATAATAAATGATCTTGCTTTCCCACTGAAAAGGCTTTCAAACTACTTCATAGGGGGCCTGCCAATTAGCTCAGTTGTTTACCTGCCTGCTTATGCAAATACAGTCAGGCACAGTATACCTGCGGTTCTATCCCCAGTTCCACATGCCTTACCAGAGCTGTCCTTAGGGCAGCCTGAGCCAGCAAAAAAATAAAAATAAAAAATAAACTACTTCATAGGATAGCATGAGCTAACAGTATTTTTGATCTTCAGGTTTAACTTGCACAGAACAAAATTTTATATCAAAATCTGGTTATCATCAAGCTGCCTCAGAACATGGCCTTGTTGTCATTGCTCCAGATACCAGCCCTCGTAAGTATTCTTGTTCCAGAAATCCTTTATAAAAGTCTAAATCTTGTAAGTCTTAAGTTATAAGCAATATAATGTGCATTATACAATTCATTTTATATCTCTACTGTTATTTCTTCATCTTTCAAGTGACATGACTGAAAGACTGTGCTGTGAATGAATAGGAGAAACAGGATGGAATGATTTTAAAGTATATTAAAACCTGTTTTCAAATCAAGATAGAGAACAAACATGTACCTTCCTTTCCTACTAAGATCACAGTGGTAGAATTGAAAGAAGATTAGTACTAGGGAAGGGTCATCAGAGAAGGTAGTGATCCCAGTCCTCCAGCCTCATCACAGTTGGGAGGATTTTATATTTTTAATCCCAGGAAAAAGTTCCTATAATTTGGAGAGTAAATTCCAATTTTCCACTGCCAGTGCAAACCATGGCATGAATAGACAATCACATGTCTGTAGTTGTGGGGAGCCAAGGGGGGTCTTAAGTCCAGTCAAAACGATGACTAATCAGAACAAGGGCCACAACCTAGGGCCAAACCTGGGTTTTATTAATTTGTGAATAGGGCAGTGGCTCAGGATGAGTGACTGTGAGAATGGTGGGAAGTAGGGGCAGTATGCAGAGAGGTCTGTAGAAAGAACACTGGATTTTGGTAACAAGCAGCCTCTAAGTTTGGAGGAACCTGCATTCACAGTTTGAGGGAGTAGTTTGTGTTTTGGGCCAGTGCTCCAGCTTTGCTTTCTGGCCTTCATGCACTGAACGTCATGCGTTCTTTCTTCAGTCTCTTGTCTCAGCTACAATGCAGCATCACTGTGTCCGGTTCATGCATACTAGTTGGGCATCATTGACCTATTGCACTGCTTCAGAGGCTGCACATCAGCACTTAGCTGGATTCATTTGCATTGCGTAAAGTCAATTGAGGGGGTAAAGTATTAACCTCGGCAGCTCTGTACATATCAGTACGTGGAATCAGGGCCAGGGTTAGCCCAAGTGGAGATAATGGGCTTCTTTCAAAGCAGACTGTCCTGGTGGTCCTCTACAAGAAAGGGTTTCTGTACAGTTCTGAAAGGCAGAGAATATAAGCCCCTTTAAGTCATTACTTCTCTGACTTCATTGCAAAAACTGGCCCCATTCAAGAACAAGAGGTCCAGGAAATATAACACCAAAAAAGAGAGGGCTTATAGTATGTGATCAACAGCACTACTGCAAATGGACCTGCACGTTCATCTAGAATTATTATTAAACATGGGGAATTACTACCTAACAGATGAAAGCAAGAACTTTCTTTGATAGGTGGATGCAATATTAAAGGTGAAGATGATAGCTGGGACTTTGGCACTGGAGCGGGGTTTTATGTGAATGCTACTGAAGACCCTTGGAAAACTAATTACAGAATGTACTCTTATGTAACAGAGGAGGTAATTTAATTTGTTTTATAATTATTAACTGATGACTACCAAAAATTTAATTTTATATCAAAGGCTTTCATCCTGAAAATTATAAACTAGGTTATAGAATGGTGACCTTATGTTTATACATTTTTATAAATCATCTTAGTGGAAATTCCAAAGTTTACTAGTCCTATTTGCTACAATTTAAATTAACACTCAGTGCCTATTTGTCTTACTTACTTTTCTCTCCTTGCTGAGACAAAAGGCCTGGCACTCAAAGGGGTAAAGGTTTATTCAGCTCACAAGTTATAGAGGTTTCAGTGTATCATCAGCTGGCTCCAAGGGAGCATGGCTTAGCAGAGGGGCATTGCAGAGAAGAACCAGTTCGTGGCAAGCAGAAGACAGCGAAAGCAAGTAAGCAAGGGACCTTGACAGTGTCTTTCTGCCCTTTTTTTTCTTATCCAAGTTACTTAAGGCAGGTAGCAGTCACACTCTTAATTGTAGTACCCTTGAGCCCAGCGCTGCACATGAATCAGTTATAACATCAGACACTCTAGATTCAACCGCCTCTGAAAAAGCCCCACCTGTGACTGCATGAGGCTTTAGGAGGACATCTGAACACAAGCCATAACAATACTTAAAGATTTAAATAATTGTGTGGAGATCTGTGTACACGACCTAACAACCCATATCATCAAAGAAAATAGTATTTGAAGCAATCTGTCATTTCCTAGTAGCTAGTTCTTTCAGGGTCTGTTTTATAATGATAAGCCAGAGCTTGCTTAGAAAGGACAAATGATAAAGCACAACTTCTATTTATAATGCTGATGTGCAGTCTATACATTTATCTTAATGTTATGATTTCATTATACACTATTTTTGTTTTGTTTTGTTTTGAGGTACTAGGGATCGAACTTGGAACCTTGCACTTGCCAGGCAGGCGCTTATGCCACTGAGCTATATCCCCAGCCCACATCATAAAAATTTAGACAGTATTAAAATTCGAATCACCCACAATTTTTTTTTCCTTTTTTCCTCCCTGGTGGTGGGTAATCTCAGGCCTCACACATACTGGACAAGCAGTGTAGCACTAAGCTATTTCTTTCTTTTTTTTTAAATTTTGTGGAACCGGGGATTGAACTCAGGCCTTTGCGCTTGCCAGGGAAGCACTTATTCCACTGAGCCATCTCCCCGGCCCAGCACTACACTATTTCTTTAGGCCTCAACCATCCATAATTCTTAGACCCTAGGCCCATAGTTATGTTTTACTATATTTTAGATTTTTTGCTATAGCTAATATTCACACATAAAATTTATCATATTGTTTAAGTTCTGTAAAATATTTTCTAATATTCTAACTTAAGAACTGCATAATATTCTGTCAGTGCCATAATTAATTTTTTCCTAAGATATTTATATTTTTGTGTATATTTAGATATTGCCTTGGTTATCTTTGCACATATTTTCCCCTAAGGATTGTCCCTTAGAATTTTCCTAAATGAAGTTACCAGGTAAAAAGTTGTCTAACTTCCTCAAGTTACTCTTGAAGAAGTCTATATGGATATGGATATGGTGGCACATATTTGAAATTCCAGCTACTCGAAAGACTGAGATGGTAGAGTCCTGAGATCAAGGCTAGCCTGGACAGCATAGTTGAAAGCTATTTTGAAAAGAAGTCTACCATATATTCTCCAATGAATATATTAGTATCTGTTGTCTGCCTAAGGTTTTTTTTTTTCTTTTAATCTTTATCAGTTCAAACATCATAAGGCTGAGTTAGAGGTATTCATTATGTAATTCTTTTACATAACTTCGAAACATTTTAAGCTTATTTTCTCCGCTATTCTGTCACACTTTTGAATTTTTTCCAGCTTCCCCAACTCATTAATGCCAATTTTCCAGTGGACCCCCAGAGGACATCTATTTCTGGCCACTCCATGGGAGGCCATGGAGCTCTGATTTGTGCTTTGAAAAACCCTGGAAAATACAAAGTAAGAGTACCTAAGTTTCTAGTGATAAATATTTCTCTTGAATAATATAGTATTAGGAACTTTCAAAGAATGAAATTGTGATACTGTCTTTGTATCAGGACTATAGTTTGCTAGGATTGGAAACGTGGGCAGGTTGGCAGAGGGTATTAAATGTGATAATACAATGCATGCTGCAGACTCAGAAGCATAACTATTCCATCACAGCGGTTTCTCATTGGCGTATCAGAAGCATTATAAAATGTAGTTTATCTTTTCATGGGCTTTTTCAAGCTGTAGTTTTAAGCAGACCCCCTGCCCCCCGCCCATGGGCTGTTACTCTTGATTGATATGATTGTGATAGTATATATCATTTACTTACATTTTTTAGCAGGTATCTTTGTAGAATTCACTTCGGTTTTCTGAGATAAAGAAAGGTATTCACGATTTGTAAAAGTTTTAAAACTCTATGTTCTTAATGTGCCTAATGAAATACAGCCTGATTAAAAAAAGGTCACTCTCAGCCTTTTCCACCCTTTATTTCAAGCTTTAACCCTCCATGTAATTTAGGTTTAAGTGAGCCAAATTTGAATACCCACTGTATGTAGGGAGTCATACAGGGGCACAGCAACATAGTACAACAGTTGAAGAAGGAAATGTCAGAGTAATGATCATCTTAGGATTGCTTCTGATTTTAAGATCAAAGTCATTCTTTGTCTCAAGTTTGTTTAACTCATTCTTTTCCTATAGGTAAGAATGGTGTTTTTATTTTCCCATGTTTTTATGTAAGATAGTCAATTTATTGTCTCAGGTTGAAAAGGTGAACTTAATTTTTTTGTTCTTTACAGAAGCTAACAGAGATTATTAAATATATACATTGATTAAATAGTCAAACATTGATTTTGTCTGTATATCTTATTCTGTGGAATACAAAATTGTCTGGAAGACAAAATTATATTAGAAATTCAGTCACATACAGTATAAAGGCATGTTTTACTGCTTTCTTGGTACTTTTTTAAGAGAAATAATGTCACCAATGTAATTTTATATTACTATAGATTAATTTTTAGTGGAAAAAGTAGTAATTCCGAATATAAACTTTCTTTGTACCTTAAATTGTAATGCATTGCTTTGCATTGAGCAACTACATTTAAGAGTTGTCTTGATAGAACACTTAAAAGATACACTGTGGTGAAGAGGCCCACATTTGAGTTCTGTAAACATCAGGAGGAAAGTTTTTTCTGGGAGTTCCTGTGGCAAGGTAGAGGTTTTAAGCAAGGTGCAAGTGTCTGTATTTGGTTTAGCAACATATAACTTATATGTATTTTTTTGTTTTTGAAGTCTGTGTCAGCATTTGCTCCAATTTGCAACCCAGTGCTCTGTCCTTGGGGCAAAAAAGCCTTTACTGGATATTTGGGTACAGATCAAAGTAAGTGGAAGGTAGGTACTAAATAACTATTAATACTCATTGTTTAATTTTTAAGTTTGTTGAAAAGCTATACCAAGCTGAGGAAATCTCTTAGCAGTGTAAGCACCTGCCTCCCAAGTGCAAATACCTGGGTTCAATTCCCAGTACCTCATACCATGCTGGCCCCAGAATCCCAGGTGTGTCATTCCAACCCCAAAACGGGGCATGATGGCTCACGCTTGTTGTCTTAGCACTGGGGGGGGGGGGGGGGCTGAGACAGGAGGATCACTATGAGTCTGAACTGCGTAGCTAGACCCTCTACCAAATAAATGAATAAATAAAAAAAATAAATTTTTTTAGAGAAGCTATACCCATGTAGCTGTTATATTTCTGACCACTCAAGGCTTGAAAGCTGGGCATAAGTAGAAAAGTAGGGGGGCCTGCCCCTTAGCTCAGTTCTTTAAGTGGCTGCTTCAACAAAGCAGTCAGGTTCAGGTTGTTGTGGTTCGATCCCCACAACTCAAGCCAGCCAAACCTGCCCTGAAGGCATTCGGAACAAAAAAAAAAAAGCAAAGTATGTATATATTCAACCTTCCATATCTGAAGGTTTTATATTTTGCAAAAATAAGTTTTTGTAATTACATCTGTATTATGCTCAGGCCTTTCTTTTTTCATTATTCCCTAAAAAAAATACACTATAACACTTATTACATGGCCTTTACAGTGCATTAAGTATTGTGAGTAATCTAGAGATGATTTAAAGCGTACCAAACGATGTTCATAGGTTATACGTAAGTGCTGTACCGCTTTACATAAGGGACTTGAGCATCTGTGGGTTTTTGTATCTAGGGAAACCTGGAACCAATCAATCCACTGTTGATATTAAGGTACAACTGTATGTAATAAGAGCCATAACACTCTTTTCTCATAGTACTGAATCATGGCAGATAGTTTAAGACTTCTAGTTTTCAACCAGTATTTCTTCTCTTTTTGTAGACTTACGATGCAACTCATCTTGTGAAGTCTTATCCAGGTTCTTAGCTGGCCATGCTGATTGATCAAGGAAAAGATGACCAGTTCCTTACAGATGGGCAGCTACTCCCAGATAACTTCATCGCTGCTTGTACAGAAAAGAAAATTCCTGTTGTTTTTAGATTACAAGAGGCAAGTACTAGGAAACCTTATTGAGCTAAACAGTATAACTATTAAAGAGGCAGAATTCCAGAATTCTTAATTATCTTTATTTTTAAAATGTAAAATGCTATCTTTAGTGAGAGCTTTGTGAGTTTTGTGGGTTTTTTTTTTAAATCTGCATGTCCATTTCATTTTCATTAGAAAAATATCTATATAAAATTTTGATCCCCTTTTCCTTTACTTCTGCCATTCAAATTTGTATAATTTAGCTTTGCTCAAGTAAAAGTAGAATCATAGTGTTTGTTCCCTTGGCTTATGAGCCTGATATGTTCTGGGAAAGATGGCCCCATTCATGTTCATGCACCAAAGATCTGAAGACCCACCTGTGGCCTGTGAGGCTTTTGGAGGACGTCGAGGCACAAGCCATAACAAGGAAATAAGGACAAAGTTGTTCTCTCGTTATTCCTTATTTCTTGTACACATGCTAGCCTCATGAGTTGATTATCGAGCATTACACACACTTAAGCACTTTACATTATTCAGCTTTTATGCTCGTCTATCTGCAGCCAACAAATTGTCCTTGCCTAAAATACTTTTCTTCTTTTTTTTTTTTTTTTTTGGTCTTTTTTGAGATCGGGTCTTGCAGTGCAGGTCAGACTGATCTGGAGCTCACTTGGTAGCCCAGGCTGGTCTTATACTCACAACGATCCTCCTGCCTCAGCCTCCCAAATGCTGGGATTACAGGTGTGCGCCCATGCCTGGCTCTAAAATACTTCTGACTATTCACTAAGAACCTGTTTATGCTATTGTAGTATTGTGTAAAGAAAATTTGGAGTTTTTAAAAATATTTGTTAGCGTCAGAATATAATATAAACAAAATCTGTGTTTCTGGGTGAATATGAACACTGAAAGCTATATATGATCATAAGTTTTTCTAAATTACTTTTATTTTTAAGAGGGATATGTCAGGGACATGGACATAAAATACAGTCATAATGGTAACTTCATAATTCTTTGTATAATGTAGCCTTTTATAGTTTATAAAGGGGCCAGGGAGCTGGCTCAGTGGAATAAGTGCTTCCCTGGCAAGCGCAAGGGCCTGAGTTCAATCCCCGGTTCCACAAAAAAAAAAAAAAAAAAAAAAAGGGCAGAGTATAGTTTATAAATTACTTTCACATTAACTCATTTGCAATACTTATGTCATTGATGAAGTTGTGTCATTATTCCTTTGCTGTCTGCTTTACAAATGAGGAGAGAGCCAAGAAAAGTAATCTGCTTACCTAAGGTGCCACAGCTAGTACTTGATAGAACCAACACTGCAGTAAGGTTATGACTAAGACCCGTTCTGTCACCTGTGCCATTTCCAGATAGGGTCATGTGTTCCTAGGGAACAAATGGGCGGACTGTGCATGACTTGCTACCTAACTCAGGCAGCAGATGATAGTAGTCTCCTTGCTTATGAGGATATTTTGACATGTGAATAATGTGGGGAAATTATCAAAAACCAGTACTATAGATGTACCTATATCTTGTCATCTTTGTATCCGCTTTCTATAATAGAACTCTTCATATTTTTGTAAACATTTCACATCACAGTAACATTTAGATCAACAACCAACTTTGAGAAATGCAAATATAAATTTGATTACAAATGCAGCAGTGAGCTTAACTGTATTAATTGTAGCTACAAGTTACCATATTTTTTTTTTCCAAATGACCTGAACTTCTTGGCATTAGCCCTATTGGTGGTCTTTTCTACTTCCCATGAGACTGTGCCAGAAAATACTATTATAGTATCTGCTTGCCAACAGAATCTGAAAATCCCTGGAGTGTGTTACCAAAAAGGTCTAGATTTAAAATACAGATGACATTTTTGGAGGTAAAAAATTAAGCAACCTATTTATTTCTAAAACGCCATACCCCAAAGCAACCACCATAAAAATGTGTTTGGCTGAATTTATGAGGAGTCAAGATAGAGTAGGCAGTTCTTCTAAAAATAATTTGAAAAATGTTAAAATCACCAGACTTCAGTTCAGGCACAATTTTTCCTCCACATTCCATCATTGTCAAGAAAGGTGAACTGTGGGTCTTAGGCAGGTTGCCTTTAAGTTTGTTGTTATTGACTCAGCAGTCAGCTAGGTAATCCACTTACCTAAGGTGCGACAGCTAGTATTTGGTACTATTTTGCCTGACTAGTGATTCTAGAGAGGCCTTTTTCTTATTCCCAGTCAACTGCCAGTAACCTTAGGTTACTTCAGGTCTAGGAGTTTTATCATTCGCTTTATTATTTGATTGTAAGAATAGTATAACTATTTCTTTATGAAACAGAATCTGTGAAAAAATAAAACAAAATAAATAAGCCAAAAAATATCCAGGGTGTATATATAAATAAGTGATCTAAGGAGAGGGAAAGAAAACTGTTAAGAGTCAAGGGATGATTTACCGAATTTTATTACTTCATATCTTTTTTAGCTAAATGCTCCCAATTTATAGTCTATCAGGTAACAAAAACAAAGTTGATCGAAAAGGAGGAATTAATGCAAGGGAATACTTATTTACTTATTTTGTGTTTGTTTGTTTGTTTGTTTGTTTGGCTTTAGGGAATCTAAATTTGAAGGAAAAAAAGCCATAGGCCACAAAATTTCAATAGCTGTACACAGATATCAAATTTCAGTCCGAAAAGAGTTTTGTACCTTTGACGTATCTCTAGTTGTTGAAGTTACATAGGAAAACAATTCAGTAACTTGATAATGAGGAAATTTCGAGGAACAGCATTCCTTTCTTGGAATCTTGGAAGAGACGCCATCATACCTCCTGCGTACTCAGAATTTTTTAGGATTTGAAGGCTCTTTTGGCCTTTGCAGCTCTTAGAACAGAGTTGCAGAAATGGGGACTCCCACTCATCTCTGTCCTGTGGGTAGCACAGTCATCTGGTACATAGACCCTCAAGGTTTGCTAAATAAATGTGAGTACCTTTCACCTCTTCTTTGCTCTGAAGAAATCTTAAAAGAGTCTCTAGGATAAGCTTTTTTAGTTGGATTCGAAAAAGGCAGAAAGGCATTGTCTCTTAGAATGAGTATCTATCATAGTTGCTGGGACACTACTTCATTTTAAGAGTTGAATGAAGAATGAAAGAATGTGTTTGTCTATTTTTATACTGCAGAACTCATTTTTGCTACTGAAGATTTTTCCATTTAAAGTTTGAGGTGGAAAAAGTAGGACCCCTTTCAGTGTCACTAAATATAGGCAGCTGCAGAAGCTGCATAGCTTACTGAACAACCTCTTTAGTCAAAGAATGTAATGAAAGCAGCTGCCCCATTTAATAAGACTGATAAATAGAACTTGAAACTAGCCAAGACAACATAGCTATTCCTAATTGTACCTATTCAGCAGAATGCCAGTAGTTCAAATCTATTCTTTTGCCTGTATGCCACCATCTTTAAAAATCCTTCTTGGTTTCTTGTAATAGGCATTTTGTACTTTCTCATAAAGATAACTCTTAACTTTAAGTATCATTATGGAAGTTAGGGCATTTGCTTTAGAGTTTAGATGAAATCTACTGTACTGTTATCCTCCTGCAGTACATTATTAACAGTTCAAAATTGCCATTCTGGTTTACCCTGGGTCTTCTCTAGTAATGCTGCTAGCTATAACAACAGCTGTCCATCTTGCATATAAAACTGTGTAAGACTTAGTACGTAAAAAACGAAGGATGAAAATATGGCAAACCAAGCCACATGAGCTTTAGTCATGCAGTTCTTCTGCAACATCTGTTTTGGTGTTATCTGTAGACTGTTTATTGTATTGATGTTTTGATTTGTGAAAATTAGCAGTTCCTGCTTTTTCTTGCATTTCACAGCAACATGCTTTTCTTTAAATTCTTTTCTTTAGGTGTAAATTTAACCAGCTGGGACTAGTGCAGTTATTGAGAAATGTACAGTCAAGTAATCTCAAGGCTCAGCCTGCATCTTCACAACCCTCCTCAGATCACGTCCACAATAGAAGACAGATTGCTTTTACATTACTTTAATGACTTGATTGGTTTTAGTGATCTAAAACTGTTTATATCTGCTGTTCTAATATGAACACACCATGGCTCTAGAATAACAGTTTGAGAAGATTTACTGATTAATCACAATCTTTGGGATAAACTGATATTTTTATTTTTTATGTGTTTATGAGAAATTCCCATTTCCCTCCATCAAACACCATTTGCCAGTTAAATTAAAACTGTAAACACATTTATATATCTTTTCTAGTGTATTCTACCTTCCTTTTAAATTGTGGTTAGGGTGGATGGCTCACTATAAAATTATCTAGTGTTAAACATACTTAAATAGTTACTCCCATTAAATTTTTTTTCCATTTTTTTCCTGAATGCGATATAGCGTGTACGCACAGGAGGTAGGTGTCATAGTCCCCAGAGAAGGGGCTGCCTGTCTGTTTGCCTAAATACTGGTTTTTGGTTTTTTTTTTTTAAATAATTTTATTGAGAAACAAATAGCAATGAGACAGCTTCAAAACCGATTAGTAGGGCAGTTTCAATAATTAATACATTGCATATTGTTGTCTTCATAGTGGTTATTCATAGTACAAGATGCAGACATGATATCTTGTCCAAACATTATTAGTACAAATCTTTCTTATTGAATTAAGACAAAGTAGTTGTCTATTTATCCTATTTTGTATATACAGATACAAAATGGTCCTTTTTTTTGTATCCCCTTTCTTTGTTTAGTTTTGTCAGAGATGGGTATTCCATTGCCATTTTAATATTGTAGGTTCATGAATTCAGCAAAATAATCCAATGTGGTCCAGTAGTCTATTACTAGTAGTAGATTATCCGTAGGACTGGCAATGTTAGAATGTTTTTGACTTGAGCCTTTTACAACTCAGCATATTAGTATGGCTTTACTTTTTATACCTCATTTTTATACTTTTCTGCTGGATGGTTAAGACCAAGATAAAGCAAGACCTATATAACAAGAAATGTAACATTTGTAGGAATGTAGACTGGTGCAACTGTTATGGAAATCAGTGTGGAGACTCCTTAAAAATTAGGACTGGAAATCCTATTCAAACCAGCTATTTTCCCAAAGGAACTGAAAACATCTTATCATAGTGGTATATGTGTGCCTATATTTATAGCAGCACAATTTGTGATAGCCAAATCTAGGAAACAACCAAGATGCCTGACACCTGAGGAATGGATGAAAAAGATGTGGTATTTTTATACAATGGAGTATTACTCAGCTGTAAAGAATGATAAACTCAAAGCCTTTATATTTAAGTGGTTGCCACTTGAAGATATACTCATAAGTGGAATAAACCAGACCTACATGTGTAAATATCCTATACTGTCCCTAATGTAAGAACTCAAAAGAAATAAAAATAGAAAGCTATAACACAATTAAAAGGAAAATGAGAACTTAAGGATTAAACAACTAAGAAAGGGCAAGGAGAAGAGCTAGGAAACATGACAGGGGCAAAGCCATATACTTACATGTAAAAGATGGGTAAGGCAATGATCCTGAGAATCTTCAGCAGGTTTTTGCAGCTAGCAGTTAACTGGTAGGATTCTCACCCTGACTGACTATATATGCTGAGACTAAACACTGGTTTTAACTGATTGGGTAAACTAAAGGTTTTCTCAGTGGCATTTCCACATTTTCTTTTCTGTATCTTGTTTTCAGAAGCTTTACTAAGTTAGTACCCAGTTCAAAGTGGGGTTCAGGTGAATAATTCCTTTTCTTTTAATAAGGCCATACATAGGCAATAGGGTTGTTTTTATGCATTTTTGTTACTGCATATTTGTGTTCCAAAGTCCTGGGTTTCACTGCGGTGTTCGCGTGCATGCCTGTAACGTATTTCAGTCACAACCCATTCCTCCTGCCAGCATCACCCTCCTTTATGCCGCCCTGTTTTTTCCTACCTAGTCTTACCTCTTATTAGGTAGTCTAGATACAGAATTCTTAAGTTGGTGTATGGTAGCTGTATTTGGCTTCCCAAACAGTGCTAGAGCTTTTAGCACTGTGTTTTTCCCTGTATTGTTTGTAGGCTTAGTTTGTATTTTACTAATTCTAGCTTACAGATGTCAGTGTGCTTCTTTGAGAGTTAAAATATTGCTAAACTCTCTACATCCTGATCTTAATCCTTGTGTGCTTGACCACACATCTACTCTGCATATGTAATTGATATGTCGTTCCCTCTCTTTGCATATTTGTAACAGCTTTGGAAACCAGGCAGTGTGAAATGCTTAACTTTTCTTCATATTTTTGTTGCTCTTTTAATGTACAAAGAAAATGTTAAAAGTACAGTATGACAGTTTTAATTTTTGTTAAAACTTACAGTGTAATATTTTGACAGTTTATAAGTGATGAGATTTATATTTAATGTCCCTAACATTAATGTTTCTGAATGGTAGATAAATGTCATCTCTATTTTGTCTTCTAGGGTTATGATCATAGTTACTACTTCATTGCCACCTTTATTGCTGATCACATCAGACATCACGCAAAATACCTGAATGCATGAAAAACTTCAGATGAAGGAATCTGTATTCAAGAATATAAAAGTTAACATAATTGTTGAGAAAAAAAAATGTTAAATATAGGATTTCGTAATGCTGAAAGCTCCCTTCTATGATTGAATCACCTTCTGAATGAATACTGAAAACCTCCTTCTGA